ATCATGTCGATCTCACCTGAAATGCACCTGCAGGCTGGATATGGCACTTGCCAAGCATGGCAGTGAGAGTGGGACAGGGCTCTTCCTGCGCTCCCACTGCCAAACTGTTACTTTTTGATGGTTAGGTTCCTATAGTGTTACTTTGCATTTATCATCCTCCTCGTGTAGCTTTGCTTTCTGTGCAGATAAGAGAGAAAAAGTTACAGTGGTGCAGCTTATGTTGCACAAGTRAAAATATGGAAGCTGGTCTAATGCAAAAAGCTAGAAGCATTGTTCTGGTAGGAAGAATTTCTTCTCTGAAAGCGTAGTAAAGCATTGGAGCAGGCTTCCCCACAATCCCTGAAGGTGTTCAAAACTGTGGATGAAATGTGATTTAATGGTGGACCTGGATGTGCTAGATTAATGGTGAGACTCACTGATCCTGGAGGTCTTTTCCATCCAGAATTATTCTATGGTCACATACARCCTAATTCTGTACCTCCCATCTTTCAGCATCCTTACTGAAATTGGGTAACTTTTATTCATTGGGTAACTTTTTGTATAATGGTTGAGTCAATACTTCTTGCCACCTATAAAGTGGAGTAGAAACAGTTGCCAAAAGAAGCCTTGCATGTGAACTATGCATTTTTGTGGAAGTGAATGACTGAAAAAGTTATTTTTTGTGTCTTCCTCAGTGTTATGGTGTTTTGGAGGGCATTCTTTAATCAAAGTATTTATCAACCAATTTGTTTAACACTTCAGTGAATGTTGACAAACATCATRTTTCAAGTTTGTGAAGAACAGTATTAAATGTCCCAAACACCAACATGATGAGAGTTGGACCTGCCTGATAAAATTTGGAGTRTTGACTACTTTGCATACAAGAAGCCCTCCAGCAATTTAATTTGCTTCTTTCCTTGAGCAATAATTACAATATGTGAGCTGTTAGGAGTTGTTCTGTAAGAATAATGTTTTATAAACAAAAATCATGTAAAAAAAAACACTTTATTTTTCTTTTCAGATCTACCTGGACTGCAGTGTACACAGTACATTGAAGGACTGCAGAGAGAAGCACAACAAGCTCTAAATGAACATGTCAGACTCATTCACAGAGGTGATGAAGCCAGATTTGCCAAGCTGAATGTTGTTCTATCCCTGTTAAGGTCTATTAATGCTAATGTGGTTGCTGAATTATTCTTCAGGCCCATCATTGGAACRGTGAACATGGATGACATGCTTTTGGAAATGCTCTGTGCAAAATTATAAAGGTGTATAAAATAATGAAAGTAAATCCAGTGCAAAGGAAGTTCAAGAGCAGGATAGTGTAAAGTATTGTAAATAAACTAACTTATTGTTTTTACATAGATAGTATTTTTGTATTCCATAATAAAATATTCTTCAAGTTCTAAAATTAATTTTTATTAAAAAATKGTGGTTTTGGAATAAGGTTAYRGTCATCWAAACAAGCTTTAAGGTTGTGGAGAATGTTCATATCCAAAGTGAACTGGCTATTCTTCTACTATGTCTCTGAATAAAGAACATATTTACTATATTGTACTTTCAAGGTGAGTAATCCCTGCTTTTTGAAAATAAGCACAGTCTTACTGMTATTCTCGCTACTTCTATTGACTTTAACAATCAGACTGTGAGGTTATTAAATATTCACCTAAGATTTTCTTCCATATGGGAAAGATGTTTTAGGAGTTTTCTGAATCCTAATGAGCTTTAAAGTATCTTCATCAGCTCTAATATTTGCAGTAAAACATTCCATTCAGCACACACTGGRCTCCAGGAAAATAAAATAAATCTGTCCCCCAAAACAACAAGCAAATAAAAATTGCCTCTAAAAATAGCAAATGGCAAATGCTGAGTAGGGTCTGGAGAACTAGCTGGGTGAGCTCCACACTTTTATTTCATCTAGACAACTGCTAACTGGGATTTCCATAGTCAGCTTCTCCAGACYGCTTATTCCTATAGAAAACCAAAACTATGATGCTGAAACATGGTGTACCAATGGTACAACCATCACAACTTGTCAGCTCATGTGACAATGTCTTAATTWAGCATGGAGTTTAACTTCTTGTTTTATTTTATTTTAGTCTTGGGCTTGATTCTTTCTCCCAAAGTTTTGTCTTCATTGGAAAAAATATCGTTTTAAAAATAAAATCAGAAAGGGAGAATCAGAGATTTAAGGGGCATTTGTTCCTTTTTTTTTTTTTTTTTTTTTTTTTTTTTTTTTTTTTCATGGAATTGTCTAGCTTTTCCCCAGGGGAATATTGGTAAAGAAATGGAGAGTGAAGTGTGACAGCATTTCCCAAGTAAAGGATATGAGTAACTCCATGTATTGTTTAGGCAGCTATTAACCATTGGCAACAGGTGGTTTTTAAAACACCATTAATAAAGTTGAAAGAGTTGCTCTCCTTAACAGGACGTGTGCAGGGGAGGGACGAAGGAGTTTGAAGAGTTTTCTTTTGCTGCCACCTTGTGCAAAGGACACTTACAGCTCCTGCATTAAGGAGCAGGGGCACTTTCATTGGCTTGTACTTACCCAAATTAAACTTATGAGAATCAGAAATTGTTTGAGAAGTAGTCAAACATTCCTGAGTATACAAAATAATTCATAAATATCACTGAGATTTATATTGCCATGGCAATAAGAACCTCCTCATGGACCAGGACACTGTCACTGAGCAAACAAAACAGAACAAGAAGCACATCCTCCACCCCAAAAAGCAATGGTAGTCCATAAATGAACTGTTTTCTTGTGCTGGTATAACTCTATGTAGCCTTGTTGTGCCATAAGAGCTCCCCAAAAATTCAAAAGAAGAAAAAAAATATGTAAGTAAAGTGATCTCTACTACCAGTCCAGACTTCAGACCAGTTGAGTCCATTATAGAGCAGGCTTAGTGTTTATAAAAGGTTGATCCTTTCATATTTACACACATGCACACCTATAACAAACATCTACCTATGGATTTATGGTATAATTTACAATATAATATAAATTACCAATTACGATGTGTATACAAACGTATATTGTATAAATGACAAATAACAGTGTATAAATGTTCTGTGAGTTTACAGCAGCTWCTGAGCATATCTAATATCTCTGTGACATAAATATGTGTATATGTTTCCCTTCTTCTCTATAGACAGCATATGAGTTCACCATAGGTTTTCAGAATACCTGAMAAAGAAACCTCTTTCCACAAAAGCACAAAGCATGATGCTAAAACATTTAAATAGTGGTTCATGGAAGCTGATGAATCTTGGGTAAGGACTAAAAAGAACTCAAACAGCCTCAGACGAAAATAACTTCATCACCACAGAGATTTCATTAAAAGTCACACCACTGTTCAGACTTCTCTGCTAAGTGGTAGAAGAGGTTTGTTGGCAGTACTCCTAACAATTAATTGTAATAGCTGAACCTTGGTCACAGGCCAGTATTTTCAGCTGAACAGTCACCTTGARGCAGCTTGGGTCTATTGTGCCACTAAATACTCTGGTTTTCATGGTGCAGAGSTAGCTGCTTCCATCCTCAGATTTGMTGTCTCAACAAATTCTATATTCTGCTCAATTTTCTCAAGTTGTCATGAAGATTGTGCACATCAAATCCACCTTGAACTGCACTCCCTCATATTTCTCTTGGACCAGCAATTCTGTTAGTCATTCAGCTGTTGTCTATTCTAATAGAAGCACCTGGSAACGGTAAGTAGGAAATCTGAATGGGAAAAAAAAAAATATCAAGGCCTTTGCAGATAAATGGCAAAAAAAAGTGTCTCTTCATAGGCTAGAGCAAGAGAAATTACAAAGCAAGACATTAAAAAGAGATTTGTTGGAGGAACCAAGCTGAAGACTGGGAGAACAATGCAAGAATGGGAGAAAAGTTCGAGTGTGGCTCTGGAGCAATGGGGAARGGTCTGATTTTAGTGTGAGGACAGWGTGCCAAGARCTGAGTAGAAGCTRTTRGAGAGAGTCTGTAACYCATAAAATGAGCYAGAGACTGAGCAAAAAGKTCRCTGTAGGAGGACTCTTGTGTCAGCTCCAGAAAATTTTGCTGAGCAGGGAAGAAGCAAGCCCAGAAGGTGACACTGAAGAGGACACAGGCATTCTCAGTGACCTGCTGGGACAGGTGGCTTGCTCTCTCCACTGCTGCTGCTGCTGCAGAAGGGACTAAAATGAGAACTGTGCAGGTGTGAGGAGCGAGCTGCTCAGCCTTGGGCAGAGTAAGGTGTTCACAGAACTAAGCAAAACTCCTCAGTTGCCCCAGWWCTGTGTCCCTGGGTGCTCTGCAGCCCATTTTTCTTCTGGATCCTTTCCTGTCCTTTGGAGGGTGGGTGAAATCTGGCTCAGACAGCCAACATGGCCTTGGCCACTGCTGGGACACAAGGGGGGATCTTTTGGATATCCTGGGCAGCAGGGCTAGGACAACCTGCAGGGGGAAAGGAAAGTGGCCTTAAAAGGATGCTTTTAGGTAATATAGCCTTTACTAGAAGAAGGGGGGAGATCAAGACCCTGCCCCAGCCTCAGGCAGTGTGTGAGAGCTCTTTTTGTACTCTGTTTAGGACTCCTGCAGAGGCAGAAGCCTCCAGCCCTGCAGAGCTCTGTGTGTCCTGGGAGCTCTGTGCTGTCGCACACAGCACAGAATTTGTCCTTGTGTTCCTAAATGCACCATTAAAGCCTACCTTTCACATCAGTGTAGACATGGCTTCTGAAGATTTTTTGGCATTTTTTCTGGTTGCTTTCTATCCCTGTCATTCCRGGCATGAATCTCCCCAGGAGCACAATTTTTTTTTCAGCCCTCCAGGGTGTCAGACGGATTTTAACTAAGAACGGCCTCCCAAGCAATTTAATTTTGCAATCTCCACCRTATCTCAGGCAGAGGCAGTGCTGTACAAAGAACAATTCTCACCCCCTTCAGAAGAGATTCCCATTGCTGGTGGTCAGGATTCCCACAGCAGCAGTCCAGCACTGGCTCCTAATCACAAAGCACCATGTGGCAGAGCAGCCTTGCAATGTCCTTTCCTCTGAAGAGATCTGAGACAGGATAATTTAAAAACCAACTTGCATTTTCAGTTGTATGAGTGCTTCCTTTAGATAAGGAAAAGCATAGCAATTATTTATAATCTTACTTTTCCAGGTTTAATATATAACCTTTGTTTTGGCAATCTTTCCAACAGTTTGTTTTAAACTTTGCAGTATTTTGCTCTTGTGAAGAGACTGTGAACACTGTTAATGCCTAATGAGTTGTAACTTTCCTATTGAAGGTGTGATTCTGCAACTTGAATTTTCTTGTTTGGAATTGGCCTCATAGACTGGCTTGAAATGATATTGTCAGTCACTTTCATCTCTTTTCAGAAAGAACTTATTCCTTCAGTGGACCTTCTAGGCATTGCAATGCATAGCAATTAATAAAAATAAAATAAAATAAAATGTCAGAAAGCCAGTTAGTGATCCGTTTTTAATCCACTGAAAAAAGTCCCAAACAGTGTAAGCAAATATCATATAAATTTTTTTTTAAATTTGGAGTTGCAGCTTGAGACTTGAACACACTCATTGCCTTTGGACACCTACTATGTATTTTAAATTATGGAAATGTATTTTAAATCTGAAATGTTCATGAGAAAGATTCGATAACTGAGGCAAATAGAGACTGTCAGAGGAACTCTGACAAAAATATTCCCAAATGAACAAGCACTGTGAGGTCACAGGTTTATAACTTGTTAGCTCTTTGCAAATACACGAATCATCCACATTGTTATACATCACATTGTTGATAGAAATGAGGAGTAATTTCACTGCTTGTGTCAGTAATGAATTGGCCCAGCTTTATTTACATATTCTCAGGGTGCCTGATGTAGGAAAATAACCACACMAGTGCTGTGCAAACTTAGGTGATACACAGACCCTTTTCCTTCTGTGTGTACATATGGCATTTACCTATTTCATATGAGGGAAATAACACTAATTTCAGGTTCAGACTGTTCCTTAATGGTATAGAATCACTCACTGTTTTGTCACATGGGGTGAATTTTACCTTACTGAAAATGAGCTGTCTGAAAATTTAACATCCAGTCTAGCTGGGGCATGTGGGTTGTGTCTGGAGAGGACAGAAAGGCACAGAGACCTCCAGGTTCCATTTGATCCCAGCACCCCTATTTTACTGTGGCACCTTGGATTCTTACTCTGCAGGATAAGGCTGGATTCAAATCACACACTGAGCTCTCAATCACCACAGTTTTTTTTTTTTTAAACCTTGGAGTCACCCTCACTTCTGGCAAACCATTAGCTTCTCTCAGCTGAGACCATAGTGAAGCTTCTCACATATGCACACATCCATACACACATCCATAGTAAAAACCAGCAGGACAATTCACATCCTCTTCTTCTAGCAGGGGAGGGTTAAAAGAAATAACAAAAAAAAAGTCAGTAAAGCCTGTAAGACTAGAGAAAAGGTCTTTAGAAAAGAAACTTTTGACCTATGTATAATTTTGTTACTACATTCACCCTAAGAGCAGGAATGCTGGTGCAGGTTTTATGTAC